CTGGTTCAACTACTGGATCCCCTGTCGTATTTATGCGGCCACAGGGGATCCAGTAGTTGAACCAGTCTTAGTCGGAAAGCACGGGAGATCACTTCGCCCACTGCCTCATCGCCTTTGATAATGTCCAGCGCAGTTGTGGACGAAACGTCAGGAAGAAATTCCCATAGACCACGGCTCCAAAGCCCGGAAAACATTCCTAAATGTAATTTAACCGGCCGTGAAAGCTTTCATAGTATGACTTATAACTGTTTAAGTTTCAAGAATCGTCGACATCGCTACCTCTTCCTGGGATCTCATAGCGTTCATCTCATCCAAAGCAGCTTGCAGGTCCTGATTCTTTTCCTGCATGGCTCGCAACCTCGCAATTTCCTTTTCCTTCGCTTCCTTCATGAGCACCTTTTCCTTTTCCAGCGCTTCTTCCCTTTCGGCCTTTTGTCTCATGAACTCCTGAACCTGCCGAGCAAATTCAGCAAAGTTTCCCGATTAGTTCCGCAGATTCTTACTCTCAAATCGGCGATTCGTTGTTCTTCGGACTTCAAATTTCGGTAGCGTTCCGCTTCCGTGTTGGCTTTTTTAAATTCCTCTCGCATTTTCTCCTGCATTTCCCGCTTGGCTTTGAGGCGGGCTTCTTCGTCCTTTTGCAGCTCGATCAGGGCCTTGTTCAACATCCGGCTTTCTTCTTCGATCCGTTCGGCTTCCAACAGTCGGTCCAGTTCGTTTTCCTTGATTTGCTGCATCACTTCCTTCACGTATCTGGCAAGACGGTTATTTTTTGCACTTTACAGAAGAAATTGTAAATTTACCGTTGTTTTTTTCGCTCGTCTTCCTCCCGCTTTGCCTCCTCCCGTTTAATTTTCATCTGTCTTTGCTGCTCCATCATCTCATTCAGCCTGAACTCCTCCTCTTTCTTCTGCTGCTCGATGGACTGTTTTTCGGCGATTTGCGCGTTTCGAATGGCTCGACATTTGGTGGCCAGGATAATCCCATTTGCCTCCTTCACTCGCTCGTCCTGCTCTATCATCAACTCCTGGGATCGTTTGAGCAGGTAGAGGTTCTTCTTTGCTGCTTCCGACTCTACCTGAAAGAGCAGGGCTTTATTTGGTGCCTCCTCCGAAGGAGTCGGCTTACAGTTTCCAGTTTGCTTCCCGGTTGATTTTTGGTGGGTTTCTGTGTTTTCAGCAGCGCTTCTTTGCGCTGGGTGCTTTCCATTACCAATTTGTTCTTTTGCCTTTCGGCTTCCTCCAGCATCTTCATCCGGTCTTCCCGGGTCACCACCTGAAAGCACGGGGGTTGAGGTTTTGAGGGAGATTTTAGAGGATTTTTCTGACATGAGCTTGTTGTTTCAGGCGTTTGAACTCGGATAAGGCAAATATTCCGGGCCGATCGATCGGTTGCCTGTTCGGAACGATTAACTCCCGAGTTCCCATTGTTTCGATGGCCGTTACTTTTTCCTTACCATCCGTGGCTTTGGCAGGTTTGAAGTGGATAAATTCGCCGTTGAGTTTATGGTTGCACTGCTCTGGTCTGAGTAGAAAAAATCGTTTTTGTCACGCTAAAAAAATTGGAGGAGTTGCAAATTACGCACGTGTGATCTCCAGTGATTCCTTTGGGTTTGGGTCCCTTGCTTCTAAACTTCCCCGTTCCAGACATCTCGCCAACCTGTAGAAGGAGTTTAGGGAGAATATCCAGGAATAAAGTGTCACATCTGTTGGGTAAACAAGCTGGTATCGACCAAATACGGGCAATTTTATCGCTATGGATACCTACCCTAAGGGCCGAATTTATGGAGTTTTCTTGTTATTGGGGCGCAATATTTTGGCGTTTTACTCCTGCTTAAATTCTTCGCGCTCTTATTTTCATCTACTTTGGAATTTCACTTTTTTCGCCAATTATTTCTCCACATTTTGCTTGTGTATGTTGATTTTTTGCTGCCTTCTCTTGGCTGTAGATTTGGTGGCTTCAAAACAGCCCCCGCTCATCTTTACGTTTATTAAGGAGTGGAATTTACATCTATTTTGCTAAATCTATTAATATTAACAATAGAGTTAAAATGTAAATTAGGACTTTCCTGCCATTTAGTTCGGGATTTTCAGTTATAATCTGGCCTGCGCCATTGCAACTCTACACGCACCAAATTGACGAGGAGACTTGAAGCATTCGAGGTCGGCTACTCGAGGAATTAAATATTTAAATGCTAAATTAAAAATCAGAAAATTGCATTAAATGACTAGATTGACAAAATTGTTTATACTGATTACTTCTATAGTGGAATTATTTTCCATTTAATTGCATTCGAGTCAGCTTAAAAACGTTAAGTTTCTGCTGTTTTCAATAAAGAATATAAACGCTTGTTTTAGGCCTGGGTAACACTGTGGTGAGTTGTTGCCGCTCTCCGAGTTAATGAGTTTTAACTCATCGGTTAATGAGTTATAACTCTTAACCTAAAAGAGAACTTTGTTTCGATTTGGTCCCTGATTCAAAGGTACAACGGGTGTTCGAAAAATACGATAAAGAATGCGTCCGAAGATGACGAGTTTTCTTGTAGAATCGATCGCTTAATTTTTTTGCTTAAGACTTTGCTAGTATTTTACAGTAAAACGTTAGGAAAAACCGCGTTTTTCTGTTTAGAGACCCAGATAGCACACAAATATTACAGTAATATTTTTTGCAATATTTAATATAGGTTGAAGCGACAGATTCTTGAATATTATAACAATATTTCTTTGACATTTAAATCAGATATTTACGAAATATTTTTTTTGCAATATTTAATATAGGTTGACGCGACAGATTCTTATGTATTATAAAAATATTTCTTGTAAATATTTATTTGATATTTAAATCAAATATTTATTGTTTGTATATGTATTTATTGTATGTATTTGTTTCATGCTAATTAATTATTAGAAACAAATATTTTTTATAGAATGATTAATCACATTTGAAAAATATTTCTTTTCGCTCTGAAATATTTTCTATTCACTGATCAATGAAAACTCAGATCATAAGTTCTAAAGTGTATTCATATTTATTAAAAATATAATATTAGTAACTTTTTGGGTGTTACTGGTGTCATATATAGACACAAAAAGTATTACGTACTAGAAAAAACTATTTTTATTTTATTTGTTTCATGCTATTTAAATATTAGAAACAAATATTTTTGAAATAACATTTAAATAATACTTAAAAAATATTTCCTTTTGCTCTTAAATATTTGCTATTCATTGATCAATGAAAATTCATATAATATGTTCTAAAGTTTGTTCCCACTTATTAAAATAATATATTAGTAACTTTTTGGGTGTTAAGGTTGTTATATATAGGTACAAAAAGTATTATGTAATACGAAAATTATTAATAACTTATTTGTTTCAAGCTAATTAAATATTAGAAACAAATATTTTAAAAATAATATTTAAGAAATACTTGCTTTTGATCTGAAATATTTCCTAAATATGTATGTAATATTTTGTGCTATCTGAGGAGAGTTTTGTTGAGAAATATTGACCGAAAAGTGAAGAAACCGGAATTAAAAATTAAATTAAACCCTATTATCCACAGCGACGAAGGAGACGAGTTTTCCCAATAATTTTATATAAAGATTCGCTTGTTCTGTTCGGGGCAATATTTCTGGGAAACAATCCAAAAAAAAATCGAATGGAAAATTTTTACAAGGCTGTTAATGGATCGAGTTTCGATAAGGTTTATTTAATAATTTTTCACAGAAAAGAGCTGAAGGTTGTCAGTATTTTGAAGTGAAGCTCTTCAAAATAGAGCATTTTTGAGTAGAAAGTGAAGCAAGAAAAAATTCAGTAAAAACTAAAATACCCCAGTTTATTAACAAACTCTACAGTTTTAAAGGGATGGGGTGACGAGTTTTCCAATTAATTTATTATAAACTTTCCCTTATTCTGTCATTTATTATTATTATTATTTATTCTGTCACAAACTATTTAATTTTTGCCTCAAAGTTTGTGTGAGGCTTGAAACGAATTTCAAAACGTTTTTAAGTGAAAGTTTAAAAAATTAAGCTTTTAGAAGAAAGAGTAAAATTCATCACAGTAGCAGCAGAAATCAGCCCATCAAAAAGTAATTGCTATAAAGCAAAAGTGAAAAATAACCCAAATTTAAAACAACAATATTAATATTAAAACACAAGAACAAGAATAAACTAGCGGCAACATACAATGCGCGGCCATAGTATAAGCACCGTTGCCATTACTGCGCTGCGATCTTCCTTCTGCTCAGTTCGAAAACAACTCTTGGACGATTTGGTATGCGCTGATGGTGCGTTCTTTTACCCATTAGGCTTTCGATCAGTTATTTCAGTTATTCAGGTGAAAAACCGCAGCATTTTGGGTGAAGACCGGCAAAAATCGACTGAAAACAACCGGGCCAAATGTGAATCGGCGCGACATCAAAGTGCTGGATCGATTCCGGAGGAAATTTACCATTTTCTTGCCAAGTGATCATTTGAATAACAACAATAATAGTCCAGGTAAGCGGTGACCGTTGACGTGTTGGGCGTCGACCATAAAAGGTAGCCGAGCATGGGTCCATCATGGTACCAAGAGTTTTCGTCGAGTTTTAGCTGCTTTCCATATGTGAGGGCATTTTTCTGTTGAAAAACATTTGCAGAACACTTAAGGGTTTCGGCGACAAAACCATCCGTTGATTTCATCGGTAACAGTTTACGTGCACAATTATCAAAGTATCATCGGCATTTAAAATGGGAGCAAAACCCCAAATCGTCCAAGATTCTGAATTTATTGCTCACCTGCAATGGTAGTATAGTCGTCTATTAAGCATTATTGAATAGATGAGTCACGAACAATTAACATTTATTATTGTATTAAGTCTCTAATAGATTTTACAAGTGATTGTGGCAATGATGCATAAGCAGTTTTCTGAGCAAGAATGAAGAAGTGCTCAGAATTCATGAGCAGCATTGTTGCTATTCTGTCTAATAAATCGTTCCGAACTTTTCCGCTTTTCTTGATTGCATTTCTTGTTTGATTATCAGTGTTGTTGTGGCCCAACAACATTGAAATGCAAAAATGAGAACAGAAATCGAGAAAAGCTTGGAGTTAACAACAAAGTTAGCATCAATCTAACAGACCATGAAAAACAACTAGAAAACTCTGAACCTCTCAAATGATACCAAGATTATGAAGAAAAATATTCTGGGCATTTTTTAATACTTACAAAAGGAAGCTTTTCCCTTGTCAAGAAGTTTGCTTTTAACACTTAATTTTGAATACCAAACTTTTGGCGCTCAGAAGTTCAGATTTTATGATTTTCTTCTTACTAATATTTATAATCTTCCTATCATTTGATGGGATGTTGGTTTTCTAATTATTTTCCTGTTCTGTTAGATGAGCATGGATTGTTTCATTATTAACTCCATGCTTTTCTCAATTCCTTATCTGATTTTTTAATTTCATATTCCGTCTTGTGGTGTTCTGTATGTATCAATTTTCCTCCAAATTTTGCCTTCCATAAAACCCGATTAATCAATTTAATTTTTAGTTTCGATCCTTCATTTGGTTATAACGCAAATCGCGCTTTTAGGCAGAAAAAAAATCAAAGTTCATGAGAAGACAAAAAAAACTAGCATGAACATTTTGAAAGTCATGAGATGAAACGAAGTTGAAATTGAACAAAAACAAGTGAGAATGTAGTAGAATTGGACGATTTTTTTCCAAAAATAACGAAGAAAACTTCAAAAAATTAAAATAAATGTTTCACTTGGTTTAGGCGAGATTTAACATCGTTCTCCTATTTCGCCTAGTTTTGACCAAAAATATGTATTTTTTGGGAATGAGACAAGTTTTATAAAAACCTTTTAATAAACTAACCCAGAATAATCCTGAAAGTTTTTCCATAAAAGAAAATCCAAATAAACTGTTCAAAAAACCAGGTAAAACTTTTTAGAAGCTGTATTTTTTTATTTGTGAATTTGCTGTTGATTTTCTTATCGAAAGCACTATTTCTGCGTCATTTACTTTCTCCTTTTCGACTGCAGGGTTTCATCATTCAACTGTCCTAGATGAGATTTTTTCAGCAGAAACTGACTTTCTGACCATCGATTTTTGTAGACTTTGATCACCATGAAAGGGACAAAACTGAGTTTCTCTAAAAAGTTTAAGTTTCCGTCGTAAATCTGTGTTTTTTTTCTTTCCTTTGCGATTTCTTTTAACCCTTTAAAGCCGATCGAAAAGCCATGCAGATTTCAAAACTATAACTTTTTCAAGGGGCGTTTTCTTTCCTAAATACGGTTTGAATTTTAAAATTTGTGCTCGAAATTTTGCACGAATTTGAGCAGTGGTTGCTTTTTTAGAAGCTTTAATGCATAAAACAGGATCTCGATATTTTACGTATTTTGAGGCTTCAAGAACACACTCAGGGAAGACTAAGTTTGGTCCAAAATTTCAGAGAAAAACTTTGAATTTGACTCAAACTTTTCCCAACTTTGAGAAATTGTTACATTATCTAGGACGGGATGCGGATTCGCCACTATTAAGACGCAAGAACAGCTCAGTATGAGTTAAATTTGTGCAACGGAAATTTTTTTAAGCCGTAGTCTTTTGAATGATTGAAATTCAACCCCAATCGTGCAAAAGTATGTGCATAAATCAACAGAAAATACTATTTTTTAAAGGCGTTGATTCACTCAGTTTTAAACCATTTTTCCAACTCTACAAGCGCTTCATCTTCTCGCACCATAAAGGTTTCAACTTTAAAGCCAAAATTACGAAAATGTTGACAATGGCTATTTCCGATAGAAAACTTGTATCGTAAAATTGACTTTCGTCCAAGAAAAACAGCTAATAATCGTGTAAATTCAACGGATTTCAGCCGATAGTTTGTGTTTTTTTGATCTACTGATGAAAGGTTTCCGCTGTTATTTGCAAGTAAATAAATGCATACAAATTAATAAATTGGCTATTTTCAGCTCTCATCTATGTTTAACTAATTGAAAAACTGTGGAAAGTCTGTTATATGGCTGGAGGTAATAAACTACATGGTTATTACGGTGTTAAGAGCAGTTGAAATTATAAATGGGCTAAAAATACCTAAATGCTCCACTATCTGTAGGTTCACTCGTGAGAACAATCGGGGTTTTTCAATCAGAATTTTGCTGTTTCAAGCAAAAATTTTCATTTGTTTGCTAAATGGATCCATTGAAGTCGCCGAAATAAAATGACTGGTTGATAATTTCAGCAACAAAAGAGCTGATTAGGAATTTTATTGAGCTGCTAACTGTGTGAGTAGAATGAATTCTTTTAGAAGAATCCCCAGCTCCATTTTAATGAAGCAGAAGAGTTTACTTAGAAGATTAACAACTGTTCTTGTTGAGAGTGTTTTGGCCAGTTCTTCGATGCGGTTTTAACTTTTTTTCCTGAATGGTTTTTTGCAATTTCAACTAATGAAGGCAATTAAATACACTCCGAGACATTACAAAGTGATCAACATGCCATCACTCATTAACCACTAAAAAAATATTAAAAATAGATCGGCTGTTTGGAGCTTTGGTAATGATCGAAAGTGAGCTTGAAACGCACATTTTAACGGACTGTCGCAGCTCAATTAACCCATCGTGATCGCGATTATTAACTGCAAGACGCCAAGATGATCATCCTGACCGAATTTCCAAACATCTTTTCCCGGCCGCTTTGCGCTATTATTAGAGGCATTTAGTGGCGGTTGTTTTGAGTTCTAGTTATGAAAACTGCCTGGATATTTATCAAACGTATATTTGAAGTATCTTTAAAGTGTTCATTAGAGATTTGATTAGTTCATTTGATGATAGTGCCTGAAAGCTAAGAGCCCGGAAAACTCGCCAGTTTCTCTGGTAAATCTGGCAATTGTTTGGTATAAATTTGTGCAATAACTTTGGGCGAAAAGATACAAGTTCCGAATGGGCTTTTGTTCGATTGCAACTGCTCTGGAAATGTGCACACCTTTTTTATGGGTGCGCAACAACACAAACACAATAATTTGGCCGGTAATTTAATGCCTTTCTGGTTCTGAAGGGCCATGCTGGTCTTTTCACTATTATCTAGATCGACCAGCTGGTAGCTTTTATTGCGCCCTCCCCTGTACGATGCAGAAAAGCTCGTGCCACTGCATTCCTAATGAACCGCACATTCTACGGGGGTGTGCGAATGTATGAACTTTCGAAATTGAACTGCCCAACTTTTCCTCATGAATTTATGCAACTCTGGTAAGACGGATCCAATATAAGCAAGCTTTTTAACGCAAGTTACTTGAGGATATTTTCGTGTTCATCATTGTTCTTCTCGACTTTTTAGCGGCTTGTTTAGTTGCAATGGAAGCAGATTTCAATGTTTTTTTAATCAATCAAGTGTGGATTTTCAAAGCATCAGTTGCCGACAAAAGTTCCTTAATTGCATCGGATAACCTAAAATAGACGGAAAATAGCAGAGGGATTGGGAAAAACCGTAAAATATTTGACCAGATTAAATCTAAACAGTTCATTTCCAACAATGTTTCTTTTGCAAATGCACAACTTTGATCAATTTGCAGGACTTTTGGGCCGGTTTGGGTGGGTAAAACCCACCTACTACCATTGAAAAGGTAAATTTCTTAGCAGACTGTTCAGTTTGTAAAATGTTCAATTATTATTCAGCTACAAACCTCCCATTTCAACTTCAAGAAACATAATCAGGTAAAAAATAAATCCCCAAACAGGTCTGGTTAGGGACATTAAACATTAAAAGAGGAATTAGCTGAATCCCACTGCTAAGAACAACATTGAGGGAAACGCATTTTTCTGTTTGTTATTTTATTGGGCTCCCCTGTGGGAAGCCCAAAAATGTTAATTGGTTTACGGTGCGTATTTTGGGAACCGATAGAGAAGCGAAGGGATATTTAACAGAACGCCAGGAATTACGAGCTGCTTAGTCTACAGGGTGTCTGGAGTTGCTCGAATTACAATATCAATATAATACGAATCAACAAAGAGTTCCTCYACTGTGCTTCTTCATTTCCTGRATTTTACGGAATATACTTTTCCAACCCCTCGTAAAAACGGGTTTAACTTGATCGCATTTCATGTAGTTCATGTTCATCCCGGCTGCATCGCACGTGCCCTTTTTAATCCCGGTGGAAAGAAACACCGGATGCCGGTGTTATACGTTAATTTTCCTCCCTTTTCCTGATTTTGTTAAGGCCAGAAGCGCCGTAAACCGTTTTTTTATATGGGAAGTTCACTGTTGTTTTATTTACGGAATTGTTGGGGTGTCGGAGGACACATTTGTGAAGTGCTCAACCTTTTTTCTAGTAACTTTTGCCTGAAATTTGTCCAGACTTTAGATAATAGCATAAGCGTTTGTTTGAAGATTCAATACAAGTCGGAAAATGTGAGTTTTTTTGCAAAACTGGAAACGCTTACGATTTGCGGTTGTTGATCAAAAAATGAGGCTTTAAGCCTACATTAACAATGTAAATTTGCAAAAAAAGTGCTTGGAGCAA